AGGCGTATCCCTCCGCGCCGCACACCGGCCGTCTCTGCGCGAGGCGCGCTTCCCCAGGATTCGTCCGCAGTCGAGCTCGAAGCTGCGGGTTCGGTCCCTGGTGCCTCCAGCTAGAGGTGGCGCCTCGATCAAGCTGGCACGAGTACGCCCGAGAAGGACGGCTCCATGCTCAGCCCGCTAGCCATCCTCTCGTTGATGGACGACCCTGGCAGAGAAAGGGGGCAGCCTTGAGCTCCCCCAGGCCGCCGGCCACTTCTGGGAAAGTCGGTTGATGCTGCTGATGCTGCTGCAGGCAAGGGGGGGCCCGCGCCCCCGGCGCGCGCGGGCTCAGCTGGAGCGGGGGATTCGGGGGCGGGCGGTGTATCCCGCAGCTCTCAATCCTCCAAGGGCGGCGGGGGAAGTCTATGTCTCTCGCAGCCCCTCCCTCGCTCTCGAGCCTGGAGCAGACTGGCACCTTCCGCTGCCGGGCCCTTCCCACGCTGTCCACTCCGCCGCGGCAGCGGGGACGCAATTGTCCTCTAGTGTCTACACTGCCCGTGTCCTCGGGTGCTAGAGGGTAGGCGGAAAGCTGTGCGGTGTTTCTTTTACATCTTAACCACTGCCGCTGAGAGCAGGTACCTTGAAAGAGAATGGCTGGGGAGGGGGGAGGCGTGGGAGGGGCTGCGTTCAAGTGGGCTGTCTGTCGGAGCTGCGTCCTTATAAAAGTGTGAAGAGGGTCCTCGCCGCACTCAGCGGGCGCTGTCCCCGGTCCTCAGCGCACAGCATTGGCCAGGTCTCCGTGAGGGGTGCGACAAGGGAGGTCCTGCCAGGGTAGGAAGATGAGTTGTGGGAGATCTCTCCCCAGGGCAGTCACCACCTCCCTCGCCACACAGACACACAGGCGCCCACACACTTGAGTGTGTGGGTAGGTGTAAATTGAAGTGATGGGGCGGTGGCAAGGGCTGAGCATTAACTCTCCTCTCCCGAAGATTGGAGGTAGCATTATTTTTCCTGGAAAGATGGGAAAACGTTTGTCAGGTTAATGTCAAACTGCAGCAAGAGCGGGTAAGAGGCCAAATCCCTGGCCCCAGGCCCCTGGGCGGGCGCTCAGCCCTGGGTCAGAGTGACTCCTGGAACTGACAATGGATCCTTTCATCAGCACTTTCCTTCTGCCTCCTTCCAGTACTCAACAGACAGGACCTTGGCTGTTTCCTTATCGGTGAGGACAGGGACATGGGAGGGGATAGAAATGATTGTGCAGTTCAGAATCTTCCTGGGGATTCGAGGCCCAAATGGACGTCCCATTGCATTCGGGGAGTGTAAGGGGCAAGAGTGTACAGGAGAGGGTGTATTTTTCCTGGAAAGATGGGAAAACGTTTGTCAGGTTAATGTCAAACTGCAGCAAGAGCGGGTAAGAGGCCAAATCCCTGGCCCCAGGCCCCTGGGCGGGCGCTCAGCCCTGGGTCAGAGTGACTCCTGGAACTGACAATGGATCCTTTCATCAGCACTTTCCTTCTGCCCTTCTGCCTCCTTCCAGTACTCAACAGACAGGACCTTGGCTGTTTCCTTATCGGTGAGGACAGGGACATGGGAGGGGATAGAAATGATTGTGCAGTTCAGAATCTTCCTGGGGATTCGAGGCCCAAATGGACGTCCCATTGCATTCGGGGAGTGTAAGGGGCAAGAGTGTACAGGAGAGGGTGTCTGCGGTGTGCACTCCCCAGGCGAAAGGGTTTCTGCAGCAGAGTCCCTGACTTGGCATCCTGGAATGGGGCTATTGGGCAGGGAGGCCGAGAAGGGCAGTCTACACACACACCATTGCCAGACTGAACCAATGGGCCTCTCAGTGCCTCACAGCTTGAGAACCACCTCTTCCTCTCAATTTTGTCACACACAAAAGGTTTAGGAAGTTCAGTTGCCAAGGCGCCATCCCCACACCCTTTACTGGCTTTAGGACACACCAAGTGCACTTAAGTTCCGGACAGAGCAGCACAGTAATAGGTGTGAAAAGAACAATGGCACCTCTACTTTTACCAGTTCTTTATTGTTCCAGTCATTCAAGAAATGCTTTGTACACACGAACACACACACAAAAGATGGTTGATACTATCTGTGCCAAACAGCGTGCTCATCAAAAACCTAGAATGTTTCAGCTTCACAGCAGAAGTAGCCAAGTACCATGATACACACACACACCACGTAGACATGTTTGGTAATAAGGGGAATACTGAATAATACTCTCTATTATTAAGAAGTCAAATTACCTTTATCTCAAACAAAAGGTTGATCCATGCCAAGGGAGGATTTAACTGGTAGCCTGAGAGGTAATTTAGACATTAAATCTTCTTAGGTTGAGTGGGGGCAGGACACAGGGTAGTCATCAGACATTAATGAAATTTTCATTAGAGGTTTGTATTGTAATAATGTGTCCAAACGCCTTTGCATGTGTACACGTGTGTGCACGTGCATGTATGTTTGTGTGAGAGAGAAAGCGAGCATGGCAATGTACATGTAGGAACAGGTGAATGGGCCGAATGCTGGGATTTGGAATATGTTGAAGTAATATAGCTGTGGCTTCTTTCCTCACCTGGCTAATAGGCTTATCGAAGATACCAGGAAAAACACAAAATTCCATCAGATAAATTAGGTTGTAAAAATGTCAGAAGAAAAGTGGAAACGGATTGCCATGATGGCATAAGAGGAGGGTGTAATTTCTGAATAGGGGATTAAGAAACACTGCAGGTATCTTTGAAGAAAGGGGAGAAATGAGATAGGTAGAGAGGTGGGCAGGACAGAGAGGAGGTTAAGCACGTCTGGGGGTGGGAAGCCACACAGCATGTGTGAAAACAGTGCAAAATCTATTTCCAAACAGTATAGGGAGTAAAATACAGAGGTAGGACAGAGTTGTGCCAAGAAATCTGATACTTACAACCTCTCAGAGTATAAATACAGACTTGCATGGGTCAAAAGAATCAGAAAGGCTGTCTCCATCCCAGGTCTAGAGGCCCACAGGAAGATCATTAGTCAAGTTTTTCATCTTCATTAACCTAAATGTATGTAACCATGAGGTCTCAATAGCAGAAGGTCACATACTCAAGCTTGCCTCAACTGCTTCTTAGCCAAAGGTAGCCTCTTCAGAGTTCTGTCAGAAGCACATTTATTGCCCATGGCAGAGACAAAATACATAATAATATGCAGCCTGATATTTGTCTTGGTTGGTTCCTCTTTTTAACAGGTTAATGATGTGAGGACGACATGTCAAAAAATCATTCTTAATAGGTTAATGATGTGAGGACGACATGTCAAAAAATGGCCTCTGTTCGCTGTGCCCCACCCATTCCGAAGGTGCATTTCCCATTATTCAGGCGTTGGCTACTATTACCAAATGCACCAAATTGAACACGAGGGAGCCATGTACACTACGTAGGGTAAGAGAGGAATACAAATGCATCCTCTCTTTTTTATGTTACTCATAATTTACATTTAAGACAATTTACCGCATCTACCACAGGAAGTGTTTCAAAGGCTTAGTTGGAACTTTATTTATTTCATTTATAAGAAGAAGAGCAAGGTGAATATACCTCAGGAATCTATGAAAAGCTGAGTAGTAGGAAACACCAGCAGGACTGGATGCATGGTTAAATGAAAGCAGATAAATGTGATTTAAAAGAATCAATAAAAAGAACATGAAGGAGTAGCAGAGAGATAGAAAACGATAAGGTGCATTATATGTGGAAATGATCTGCTCAGAGAGATTCTGCCTCTTACATCTGCAATCTGTTCTTGTAAAAAGCATGCAGGTATATAATCTATACATACAGCCCAGACATGAAGGGTGTGCTGTGGGCAGTCAACATTACTTTTATTTGTGTATTTCTGATGATGTTCTTGTTGAATCTCTGTTGACAGAATTCATGTGTGTTCAGATCATACTATTAGGAAACAGGACATTTAGGGCGCTCACTTGTGTTTTTAAAACATCACAAACTATTATACCTATTCATTTACTTGTCTAGAAAATTGCCTGTTTTGACTTTTTTTTATTACCGCAAAGGAAGGGAAAATCCACTGTATGTACAGACGGACAGCCCGAAACCTCTGTAAATAGATGGTCCTGGTACTGCCTTCCCTTCTCCATTAGTGCCACTTTTTCTAATGATCACGTCTTTGAAGATAATTTCCACTTTCTCGATATAGCAACATTTTATATGTTTTACCAGGCTATTTGTTAGCATTTGTCAGTAGCTTCTTTAGTGGCAGAATTTAAATTTTAACACCTTCTCTTTTAAATGCTTTACATTCTTCGCTCTTCAATTTGAAATTAAGAAACAGAAGAGACAGATTTATGGTACTGAGGCACCCTAATTGTCACAGATTCTTACTTTTTAATTTCTTTCAAGATACATGGGGTCATTTCCCTTCATGGCTACTTCATGTTCCCTCTGGGCAAATAACTGCTCACTTCGCTCAGAAATTATGCAATAACTGCCTATAATTTGCCACTTGCCAGAATAATATTTTCTTAACTCGAAGGGGTATTATATTTTTCTTCACCAAGGAAAAAACAAATACAATGATGGACAGAGTAGAAAAATGTAACAAATCTGCAACACATTGAGAAAACAGTGATTGACATGATTTCAAGAATATATTCAGGGCAAAGGAAGACAGGAAAGAGGAATCAAGCAGTGGCTAGCAATGAGCCTATTTGAGATGACAAGGATCGTGATGTGAAATGCAGGTTGCCCAAATATTGATCACCACACTCAGAAATCACATTTTCGTCCAGGGGTAGTATTGACCAAGGTGATGTCTGCACAAATCCTATCATGTGGAGGGCAGATATTACATACTAGGTAAAAATAAATCCTACTTCTTTCGTAACTGATCCCATACAAGTACTGGTTTGATAGGACACAGAGCATCAATCAAATGCATTTTGGCAGAGCAAGTATATCAGTAATTAAATTTAAAAATCTCTCATTGCACAGAATCATTTGTCTGTGCAGAATCACATGATTTCTTTCTTAATGGAGTTAGTTTATCTTAATTTTCAAGTTTGATAAGAAAATCTATTAGTAATAGGCATTCTAGCAGTATCAACAGGATCCCTTACTATACAGTAACAAATTATTAATAGTCTATCTAATGATCAATCAATGCAGTTCTCTGAATGCACATATTCTTTTATTTTTATGCAACTTATTTAGGCAAAGATACCTTATATTTTCACACTTTCATGACTTATTTAGGCAAAGATACCTTATATTTTCACACTTTCATGA